GGAGGTGCTGTAGTCATAATGAACAGGTCGGATTATGAACAGGAGGCTGCCAGGCAACTCTCCAAGACCACATTCTACAGGCCACTATCCTCTGATCCCACTGAGGAATACCAAAAGAAACTACACCATCTGCTCAAGAAATTCCCGGCTACAGTACGGGAACAAATCTACATGGACACACCCCCAGAACCCCGACCAGAGGTATTCTATCTGCTACCCAAGATCCATAAACCCGGAAACCCTGGACGCCCCATCATCTCAGGCATTGGCACTCTTACAGCAGGATTATCTGGCTATTTGGACTCTCTCCTCAGACCCTACGCTACCAGCACTCCCAGCTATCTTCGAGACACCACCGACTTCCTGAGGAAACTACAATGCATTGGTGTTCTTCCTGAAAACACCATCCTGGCCACCATGGATGTAGAAGCACTTTACACCAATATTCTACATGAGGATGGACTACAAGCTGTCAGGAACAGTATCCCTGATGAGGCCACAGCACGCCTGGTGGCTGAGCTTTGTGACTTTGTCCTCACCCACAACCACTTCAGATTTGGGGACAACTTATACCTTCAAGTCAGTGGCACTGCTATGGGTACCGGCATGGCCCCACAGTATGCCAACATTTTTATGGCTGACTTAGAACAACGCTTCCTCAGCTCTCGTCCCCTAGTGCCCCTCCTCTACTTGCGCTACATTGATGACATCTTCATCATATGGACCCATGGGAAGGAGGCCCTTGAAGAATTCCACCTGGACTTCAACAATTTCCACCCCACCATCAACCTCAGCCTGGACCAGTCCACACAAGAGATCCACTTCCTGGACTCTACAGTGCAAATAAGTGATGGTCACATAAACACCACTCTATACCGGAAACCTACTGACCGCTATACGTACTTACATGCCTCCAGCTTCCATCCAAGACACATCACACGATCCATTGTCTACAGCCAAGCCCTAAGATACAACCGAATTTGCCCCAACCCTCAGACAGAGATAAACACCTACAAGATCTTTATCAAGCATTCTTAAAACTACAATACCCACCTGAGGAAGTGAGGAAACAGATTGACAGAGCAAGACGGGTACCCAGAAATCACCTACTACAGGACAGGCCCAACAAGGACAATAACAGAACACCACTGGCCATCACATACAGCCCCCAGCTAAAACCTCTCCAGCGCATTATCCACGATCTACAACCTATCCTGGAAAATGATCCCTCACTCTCATAGACCTTGGGAGGCAGGCCAGTCCTCGCTTACAGACAACCCCCCAACCTGAAGCAAATACTCACCAGCAACTACACACCACACCACAGAAACACCAACCGCGGAACCAATCCCTGTAGCAAACCTCGTTGCCTACTCTGTCCCCATATCTACTCTGGCGACACCATCAGAGGACCCAACCACATCAGCCACACCATCAAGGGCTCATTCACCTGCACATCCACTAATGTTATATATGCCATCATGTGCCAGCAATGCCCCTCTGCCATGTACATTGGCCAAACCGGACAGTCCCTCCGCAAAAGAATAAATGGACACAAATCGGACATCAGGAATGGTAACATACATAAGCCAGTAAGGGAACACTTCAATCTCCCTGGTCATTCTATTACAGATTTAAACGTCACTATCATTGAACAAAAAACTTCAGAAACAGACTTCAAAGAGAAACAGCAGAACTAAAATTCATTTGCAAATTTAACACCATTAATCTGGGCTTGAATAGGGACTGGGAGTGGCTGGCTCATTACAGAAGCAGCTTTTCCTCTCCTGGAATTGACACCTCCTCATCTATTATTGGGAGTGGACTACATCCACCCTGATTGAATTGGCCCTGTCAACACTGGTTCTCCACTTGCGAAGTAACTCCCTTCTCTCCATGTGTCAGTATATAATGCCTGCATCTGTAACTTTCACTCTATGCATCTGAAGAAGTGAGGTTTTTACCCACGAAAGCTTATGCCCAAATAAATCTGTTAGTCTTTAAGGTGCCACCAGACTCCTTGTTGTTTTTGTAGATACAGACTAACACGGCTACCCCCTGATACCTGAATACTGCTGTGATTCTTGGTGTAAGGGGCCATCTATAACAAAGGTATGAACACCTAGGTGTTGAGATAGATCAGAGTACCCAAGGGGACTGTCTGTGACTCTGTGTTCAGGCTGTTATAGAGCCTGAGGGAGTTTACATTTGATAATTGGTTGGTGAAATCTAAGTATAGAACTCTCAACCAATTTGGGGATTGTGTTCTGGTTCTTAACAATCTACCCTGAGGTTGGTACTCATGCTCTTGAGTCACTGAAGGCAGCATTACAGTTTTAACTGAGTAAGAACAGGATTTCAACCAGGGAGAGTGTGCTGTATTGCCAAGCACAAGCACCCCAAACTCACGTCAGATGCCAAAAAAAAAAAAAAAATCACGAGAGTGGCTGAAAAAAAATCATAAGGTTTAATTTAAAAATGAGGGTTCTTTTTATTGGTTTTTTGAGTCTTGAGAATGTACTTAGATCACATTTTCAAGCTCTTCCCTGCAACCATGAATGCTAGAAACTTACATATTTTTAGGATGAAAGCTGCCATTATACTGTATTCACATGACTCCAGGAGATGAGGCTTTAAGGAAAATATAAAAGATCATGAAATTAATGATTAGAGCAAAAGAGTTGGCAACACTTATTTTAGCTCTGTTACACTCAGCATTTAAAATTTAATAGAACTATATGTCCACAACATTCTCTACAAATATTAACCAATTAATCTTCAGGATATGCCCAGGAAGAAAGTACAAAGCAAGTCAGCAGGACTCCAGCACACATGTAGAAGAAGCAAAAGTAAAATGATCTAGGCAACAAAACATTCAGTCAGTATCTGCTTGCATGGTGACTGCAGGCTGCATAGGCAGATGTTAGCTGCTCGTCCTGGAGCAGCAGGAATTCACGTCAGTTGTGAGCAGCTTTCCACGTCGCTAGAGTATGAAATATGGCAAAATTCACAAGATGCCACAGTATTGCCAACTCAGGCATTCAAAAATTATGAGTCCCCCTCCCTCACCTCCAAATTATTTGATTGGTTTGAAATTAAAAGATTTAACAAACAAAAAAATCCAAACCACGCTAATAGTACTTTGGGGTTATTTTTATTTACTTTCTCTTTTTTGAACCTGTTGTGTTCACCTGAGTCACATGGTCAGGCTTTTCTTTGTGACCATGAAGTGTAGAAACTTTAATTAAAAAAAAAAAAAAAGCAAGCAGAGATTCTCTGGTATACACATGACTCCTGGAGCTGGGGCTTGAAGAAAACATCACATATTCTGGGAGTTGGCAATACTGGATTCATTACTTATTGAATAAAGAAAAACACATGTTATTCTGTCTGTGATATTGCTACGAGCAGGTTGGCAGATACACCACTGCTCTGTACTGGACTGAAGCAGAATTACACAACTGAGTGGCATAGGCCCTGAGAGATTTTCCTTTAGTTTTAGGAGTGGCGGGAAGAGAGCTCTATTTCAACTGTTGCCACAAAGTTCCAAGTACCACAGTAATAAGAACAGTGACAACCATAAAGTCATAGTTAGCAGCCATGGATTTCTTACAATCCATTTGTCAGTAATGGGTCTGATTTTATTCCCACTGAAGTCTATGGGAGTTCTGTTTTGCAGCTCACTGAAATTTACTCCTGTGCAAAAAAGCCAATATGCAGCCAATTTGCTACTTGAATCCCTCTTAGGGCCAGATCCGAAGTCCACTGAAGTCAATGGGAGTACATAAGAACATAAGAACGGCCATACTGGGTCAGACCAAAGCTCCATCTAGCCTATTATCGTGTCTTCCAATAGTGGCCAGTGCCAGGTGTCCCAGAGGGAATGAACAGAACAGGTAAATCATCAAGTGATCCATCCCCTGTCATTCATTCCCAGTCTTTCCAATGACTTTAGTGGGCTTTGGACCAGGGCTTTAAATCTGATTTTGAAGGCTTAAATGGTGCATCACCCTAGTGCTGTCCCTCTACATGGGACTGAATTTCACTCTGATTATTGTAGCCTGTGGGTTATCAGCATGAACAATATACCTTTTACCATGCTGTCACATATGCATGCTGTAACCTCTTCAAGCCCCTTATTTTGTCCTCCTTTATGTCCCTCTTAGACACCCACTTCTGGCATGCTGCTTACAGTGAAATGAGCTGACTTGTACATTTCCCTATTCACTGTTCACTGTCCACTAACCTCTGTCTGTCTGTCCCAAGATTGCAAGCTCTTCAGAGCAGGGAGCTATCCTTTCTTGAATGTCTGGAAGCCGCCTAGCACATTGAAAGCATAAACAACAATTAATAATGATAGCACAGACTCCTCATTCCACTCCAGAACAATGAGTTGGCTGTAAGGCCAGAAGGGACCATTAGGGTCCTCTAGTCTGGCTTGACGTGGGCCACAGCATTTTAGCAAGTGCCTCCTGCATCAAACCCATAATTTAAGGCTGGACTAGCACATGTCCTTTTAGAAAGACACCCAGTCTTGATATCAAGACTTCTAGTGATGGAGAATCCGCCCCAGCCTTAGGAAGTTGTTCCCAGGGTTAATCACCCTTACTGTTAAAAATGTGCATCTTATTTTGAGTATGAATTTGTTTAGCTTCTCCTTGCAGCTATTGGATCTTGACTGATAGATTAAAGAGACCTCGACTATCAGAAGCCTTCTCCCCATGTAGACGCTTCTAGACTCGGACAAAAATCACCTTTTACCTTTGTCTTAGATAAACTAAATAGACTGAGTTTCTTTAGCCTCAGGTTTTCCACACCTCAAATCATTCTTGTAGCTCTTTTCCAAAAGGTGATGGGAGGCTTTGGTGATTTTTTCCTTAAAATCAGTCGAGTTACCACGAAACACATCTAGAGAAACCATTCAAACATTAGCTTGGCTGTGGTGTCCCAACCACAAAATAATATGTTTATTTTTTTCCACCACTTTTTTTGTCCTTTTATTGATAAAATCTACACAAAAGCTAACTCATCATAATAATTAATTAAAAAAACAAAACAAAACCAATGCTACACATTCTCCTGTGTTTTAGAAATTGTGTCAGCCATTGAGTTTCATTGAAATGCTCCTGCTTTATGCCTTTGACCGTCCAATCCATTTTGGGCACATTGCATCCATTTGGGTACCCAAAAGTCCATTATTTTTTCCCATGCCATCTCTGGATTGTAAATGTGTGAACTGATATTCCATCATGTTTCCCCATTTTTAGAGCCCAAATGGTAATTATAGTGTCGACAATGAAGCACGATGAAGATAGTAAAAAAATCCAAAGCACCCTCCATAGTGCACAGCATGTGTCTTAAAATGTACATGCACCCAAGGTTTTTGTTTCTTTCTTTCTTTCTTTGTTCTGCTGCATCAATTGCCAACGTCCTTTTGGTTCAACACAAGCTGTAATGCCCATGTTTGAAGTTCAAAATATTAGCACTTGACCCCTCCCCCCAAAAGTAAAATAAAATAGCCATTATTTTGTTCTTTGATTTAAAAAAGGAAAGAAAAATCAATTTAAACAAAGCTTTAAGAGTAATAAACACTTAATAAAGAAACTATGACTGACCAACCTTGGAACCTCCCACCTCATTTTTACCTGTGGTTCTCCTTCTCAAGAACCGTGCAATGTAGAAAAATCAAATATACAAACAGAACTCTTAATCCATCCCTTTATGTAGCTAGAGTGAATCTATTTTTAATAAGAACTTGACAATCTCTCTTTAATATTTACACCAAGGAGTTTGTTTTAAAGTTTTAAAGCAAAAGAAAATCTTCAAGTTCTCAGCGCTGAATTGCAAGACAGAATTTCCACACTTTTCTTTATCCCTTTTCCTTTTGTTTGTGTTGGAACATTTGCAACTGGAATGGTAGATTTTTGTTTTTCTTGTCCTGTTCTCTTCTGAGATGAAAGTTCCTCAAAAGAATTCCCTACTCCCACCCATTCCCGAAGAAGCGGTCTCCATGATTAGTTTGGTATTCTCTCAATGTAAATGGCTGGAGCGGCTGAGCGCGCAATTGTTGCTATGAAGCTGTGGTCTCGACTGAGTTCCAGGTTGGTGGTCTCAACCTGCTCCGCCCGGGAGATGGTGTCGTACGCCTTATTTACATGGAGAGGCTTGTGGGCCTGGCAGTATCCGATCACTGGTTGGTCATAGCTGTAATAGGGCAAGGTCTTCATGGGGTGAGGGACCTGCATCAGAAAAAACAGAGACAAAAAGAGAGAAACATGTGAATGATATGCTTAACTAGGTGTTTGTACAGCACCAAGCACAATGGACCCTTGGATAGGTCAACCTCTTGGCAGTATCACAATATGATAAAAAATAATGTTTAAACACTTTTCAGAGACTCTCTGAGTCTCTTTCATAGAGGTCTAATTCTGCAGCCCTTACAGTTAGTGGGAAGCACTTATGCTTAATTCTCACTAGAATAAACAAGACTATTTGAGTTCCATTGTAGTCAATGGGACTATTTGTGGATGGAACACAAAACTGTGCAGAGGGCTCAAGTGCTGCATAGATCTACCCTATCCTGGATCTCTAGATCCCAAGGCCTATCCTAGATCCCATCTCTCCCTTTTATTGAATTCCTTGGTAAGCATCTTATCATACACTGGCATAAAAAACAAAGATTTTTAAAAATACCCCATACTTTTAAACATTAATCCTAAAAACTAAATATAATTAATAGCAAAACATTAGATACAAATCTTTTCCTATCTGACTTTGCAAGTAATTTAATAATCTGCAGGAGATGAGCTGATCAAATTGAAAAAAGCTTGCTCCATGGGGGTTGGCGAGAATCTACAGGAAATACAAGTTACAGTTTATTCCAGTAGTGGTAGAAAAGCTAAACTCATCACAGCTGGAGATATGCTATCTGTAATTCTATCTTGTAACAAATACTTCTTTATATTCCCTTCCAAGCTTTAAATGAAGAACACAGATCTAGTTCATCATGAGATTTCATTGCATGGTATACTTCCTACAGACAGATATGAAAAAGCAGTGCATCTCAGAGATATTAATGTTAATTATAACTTTTATTGTAGAATGAATGTGACATACTGTACCTCAAAATAGCACCCTGTACCCCCCTATTCATATATGATTGTGATATTTCATACAAATATGCCATGTAAGATATCATATGAAAGGTCATGATCTGCTGAAACCACATGTTCTGTCAAAATATGTATATCATTAGTGTGTATGATGTAATGAGATTTTGCTGTATGGCTGTTACTGAAATATGCTGTAAATTTGCTAGGGACATACAAAGGACCCCCATCCAGGTGGGTGTTCAATTACCATTAATCAGCAGGAGAGTTGTAATCAAGGGATTTACAATTCAGTGAGGGCTGCCCAAGCACCACACAATGGGAACCGCTCAATTCTATGACTCAGTTGCACAAGACAACACACCAGGGGGATTGCTCAACCCAGTGACTCAACAAAGCCCACCAGGGCATGTCTGGGCAACTGGCTTCTAGGCACATGGACTGAGGATATAAAATGGGGAACAGTGGCAGCATGTCTTGGCCTTTCTCCTTCCCCACCTACGCTGGAAGCAACAAGAACACTGAGAAGATGAAAACTTCAACTGAGCAGACTGGTCCAGGCCTGTGTATTGAGAACTGTAACATTCAGTGGGGGAGAAAACTGCTTGATCTAAAATCTAGTGTAATAAGGTTTAAGATTTATATCGTGCACTTATCTTTTATTTTCTTTGGTAACTATCTCTGACCTTTTATGCCTACCACTTATAATCATTTAAAATCTATCTTTCTCTAGTTAATACATTTGTTTTATACTTCACCTAAAACAGTGTATTTTGCTTGAATTGCTTGAGAAATCTCAGTTTAAAAAGGCTGGTGCATGTCCTCTCCACATTGAGAGAGGGGAAGACTGGGTAATAAACGTACACTGGTCAGGCTTCTGACCAGGGCAAGATGGTACAGCTCTGGGGTGCAAGGCTGCGGAGCTGGGGGGAATTGGTTGGTGCCTTTCTCTGTGTGATTCATGAGTGGCTCTGGGAGCATTCATGCAATCTAGCTGGGTGTGGGGCTCCACATGCTGTTGTGCTGAGTGATAACAGCGCCTGGTCACTAGCAAAGCATTGTGGTCACAGCTGCTTGTTACTAGCAAAGCATTGTGAGAGACAGCCCAGGCTAGAGAGTTAAGGGGGCACAGTGGTACCCCAATTCCAGGTTGCTCCCTGGGGATCCCATCACAACGCGTTCCTCCTGCATTCAAATCTAATAGGTAGTAGTTTTGTCCTTTTTCTTTACAGAATGCTGGAGGCACTCCAAGACACTCCCAGTTGCAATTCAACTGAGAACCTTTTCATCTTAAATGCACCAATGCAAAAGTCAAACCACCCAGAAGACACTGAAGTCACAGCTGAGATCACTTATGTACCAAATTCAGCCCTGGGGTCAGCAGATACAATTCTCATCTGAACTGGGCTTTGCACCATTTTACAACAGTGTTTGAATTTGTCCATAGCCTTTAAGGCAGGTCTTTATGATACAACAAAAGCCAAGGACTGCTCGTTTTCTGTAGATCTTTGTCATTGAGGTCCTGTGGTTTACAGTAATAATATACAATACATTAACCACGGGGTCCCCCTGTGTACATCATTGTTTATTCCCTCTTCTCCAAACAGGAGTTAAAAAATCAGAATCACAACAATATCCCTAAAAAGCATTTAAATGCGTTTTCCTTATCAACAGTTCTCAGTACTTTTCCAAACCATCCCTTGATCAATTCAAGGTGTTTTCTCTCCTCAGGATCCCTCTTCCGCAGACAGGAACAATGCCAGTTAAAGAAACAGTTTTGCACATTCCTGAGATCCCACTGAGAGCTTGTCTAGACTGAGGATTTATGCAATGATGTAGCTACACTGACTTAGCTGCAGTGGTACAACAGTGTAGATGTGCTGTGCTTCATTGGTTCAAATATCTCCAGCATAAAGAATTATTTCTTGAAGGAGAGAGCAATGATCTCTTGCAATGGACAGTTTTTTCCCTTACCCGTGGCACTATCTTGCCATGCCCTGTCTGACTGCAAACCCACCCCTTTGTAGCAAGACTGTTAACGTATCTGCTTTTATTAGACAGGATCCAAAACACCAACCAGTAGAACTAGCCCTGGAAGCAGATGTGTCAGAATACTGCAAGAAAAGCTATTCTTAAGGTATCTTCTGCCAAGACTGAATATAGAAGTGCCAAAAGTCTCCCAGGAAAGTTCGCTTTTGGGAGTTTTGCAGTCCATACGAAGAGTTTGGAGGAGCATCTGAACATTTGAGTGCTTTTCCAAATCAAAGTCAAACTTCAAGCCTTCAGAGGATGGTCTGCCACAAACGGGAATGTCCCTTCATTTCATGAAAGATATGATCCACAAAGACATCAGAGGCTGATTTTCATTTACACTAGGATCCCTTTACACTGCTGCATTAGCTTACATTTATTCCCATTCCAAAAGGTTTCTTTAGACTGACGGAGTGGCATGAAGAGACCTTAGTGCAAATGAGAATAAGGCCCATATGTACTTTTCAGAGTATGGGCCTGATTGTGTAAACTGTCAGTCACATGGGCAGTCCCTATTGAGGTGACTAGTTGTAGGACTATTCATGTACAAGGAAAAGTTGGCAGGATCTGACCCTATTGTGAGTAATGCTGAACAGTGTTGAGGAAATTGGTCATTCTAAAACAAGCTGAAGCGATTAGATTATCTACGGAAGCACCATATGGGAACTTGATATAAATTCCCACACAGGGAATTTATAAACATAGTAAATCCAGTCTCCAGAATAATGAATATCTTGCTTCATTAAAGAGTAAGGAAGGATTTATGGTTAAGGCAGCGGACTGGGACACAGGAGAATTAGGTTCAGTTCCTGGCATCTGCCATAGCCTTCCACAAGTCACTTAATCTACCTTGCACAACAGTTCCCCCACTCTAAAATGGGGAAAATGCTACTTGCTACCTTCTCTCTTAAACTGTAAACTTTTTGGGGCTGAGATGTCTGTACAGTGCCTAGTTCAGTGGAACACCTATCTCAATTGGGGCCTCTCTCACCTTAAGTACAGACCACATCCCCTCTATGTCTCCTTCTATCACCATGCTTTATTATACTGTTCCAGCTGGGCAGCGTCCTGTAGTGCTGTTTACATATTTACAAGTCCCAGCCATATCCCCCACTTGCTTCTCAAGAAAGGGAGCAGTACCAGCAGCCATTACTGCCTGTCTTCCGGCCCTCTGCTTCCCCCTTTCCAGGGCTTCCTTCCTCTCCATTCATCTGTTCCCAGCTCCTGGGGTTGCCTCCCCCTCTAATTAGCACTTCAGCTGTAGCTCCACTTGTTAATTGATTCTCTAATTAGGCCCCAATTAACCTATATTGCTGGGGATTTGAGTGACGGTGCTGAGTCAGCTTCTGACTCAGTACCCTGGTTACAGGCCTCTCAATTGCTACTGCAACACAAATAATAAACTACAGTTTAAACATTCAAAGCGCAAAAACAGGTTACTATAAATACTATAATAAACAAAATAGTACCTAACATTTCTACAACCTTTTGCATCTGAGGATTTCAGCACCCTTTACAAAGGAAGACAAATATGATGTTAGTCTCACTGTGCAGGTGAGTAAACTGAGGCACAAAGCTGATACTTGAGAGCAAATCCATGACAAAGGCAAGAACAAAATTCTTATATCCTAGCCGCTAGGCCTATGTTCTATTTGTTGTACCACTCTGCCACCGGTAACAGTATTTGGTCCTGCCATGCGGGCAGGGGACTGGACTCGATGACCTCTCGAGGTCCCTTCCAGTCCTAGAATCTATAAATCTATGAATCTATAAATAGCTGCAATTTAGGCTATAAAAATTTCTAAATTTGGCTTTGGAACATAGTAAATTGTAATGAAGACAAACAGTTGCTTAGGAAGGAGTACAACAGATACAGAAAGCGCTTCTTTCTTTTATGATCGATCACAATATCCCATTCAGTCTTTGGCTAAGTGTACTCTTTCATTATTACACTCCAGGACAGCACAGTCCAGGAGAATGAGTGAGGCAGAGACATAGAATGAAGAAGGACAAGATATTTGCCACAAGACCATGCACCAGTACATATCTGTTAGCAATCATTTCTAAATGAATTATTTCCTTTTCTAAAAGTTATACTG